CCCGCCAAAAAGCCATGGCACACGCAGTTTGCCCGTCTTCTGTCCATGCATATTGCTTTCGACATCATCTATTTCCCGGGCTGGGTCATTATGGGCGCCATCCTTTGGGCTCTGGCTTTCCAAACCTCCAACCCTGCCATATTGATCATCTTCCACATCCTTGCTGGCCTGTCCTTGACCAGCTTCTCCATCTTCGGCGCAGCTTTCTTCCGCAAAGCCCAACTATCTGGTATCACCATCGTCATCGTCCCGATCCTCCTGGCCATCATCGCCCAAGTCGCTGGACCTTTCAGCACAGCTGCTGTATACCTTCTGAGCCTGCTCTTTCCGTCCATCAACTACGTCTTCTTCATTATTTGCGTGGCCCGTTTTGAGCGACAGCTCGTTGGAATGAACCTCGTCCAAGCCGCGCCCGACTACCAGGACCACATCTGGACTACTCCCGGCATCGTCTTCTGCATATTTGCCATTATACAGACTTTTGTGTACCCTGTTCTGGGCGCTCTTGTTGAGCGCTGGCTCTACGGCACCGTTTCGGCCGACCGGAAGACTACAACGTCTTCGCCGGATCACAACATCATCCTGACAAACTTTTGTAAGCACTGGACTCCCAGTTGGTTTCGCAGCAACGTCCTTACCAAGTTCGGCGTCAAGCCACCGGAAACAGTCGTCGCCGTGCAAGACTTCAGCATGAAGGCGCGCAAAGGCCAGATTATGGTTTTGCTTGGTGCCAATGGTAGTGGCAAGTCCACGACGCTGGACGCCATCGCGGGTCTCAACTCCATCACTAGTGGAGCGATCGAGATTGATGGCACCGGAGGCCTTGGACTGTGCCCCCAGAAAAATGTCATGTGGGATGAGCTGACTGTTTACGAACACGTTCGTATCTTTAACCAGTTAAAGTCAACCGGCACCTACGATACCAAAGATACCATCGAAAACCTGATACGCGCTTGCGATCTGGGGCACAAGATCAGAGCACAGTCCTGCACACTTTCTGGGGGTCAAAAGCGCAAGCTTCAGCTGGCCATGATGTTCACCGGCGGTTCAAAAGTCTGCTGCGTCGATGAGGTGTCGTCCGGATTGGATCCACTCTCGCGAAGGAAGATCTGGGAGATTTTACTCGCTGAGCGGGGTGACCGCACCTTCTTGCTCACGACACATTTTCTCGACGAGGCAGATGTCCTTGCCGACTACGTTGCCATCCTTTCCCGCGGTATCCTCAAAACCAAGGGTACTTCGGTTCAGCTCAAACATGAAGTCGGCGCTGGATACCACGTTACGTATCCGAAAGACGCTCCTGTCAAGCCCCCAGTGGATGCCATCAAGAAACCGGCACCTTCCGAAGGCATGCTACAGTACCAATTCGAGAACGCACTGCCCGCCACCAAATTCGTTGATATTCTGAGACATCATGACGTCAAGAACTACGACATTGTTGGCCCGACATTGGAGGATGTCTTCCTGGCCAATGCTGAGGAAGTCAAGGAGTACAACCTAATGGACGCTGACCACGGTGGGCAAGCTGGAACCCCAACGTCGGACAAGGATCGAGACGTACCTTCAGATCACTCTGACACCGACAAGACGCTAGAAATGAGCAAAGGTCGTGGCACTAGTCTACTCAGGCAGATACTCATACTTGTACAGAAGCGTATCACCATTGTCAAACGCAACTTTTGGCCCTACATATTCGCTTTACTCCTTCCGATTGTGGCGGCGGGACTAGTCACACTGTTCCTAAAGGATTACGAGGCTGTGGGATGCGATCCTGGAGCCAGCGCTAACGACCCTACCATATTCTCGCTTTCCAACGTAGACGATGTCCCTCTCATCCCCATCGGTCCGGCAAGTACCGTCGGTCCTGCTATCGACACCATCATTCAACGAACAGGAGTCTCCGAGGACAGTTTTCACCTCGTGGACACACTCGATGAATTCAACGACTACGTCAACACGCGTTTCCGCAACATCACACCCGGTGGCTTCTTCCTAAATGATAACGGCCCGCCACTCATGGCTTACCTTGCTAATGGCGGTGTCATCGGTGGCCTCATCACACTGAATACTCTCGACAACATCTTGACAAACATCACCATCTCCACACAGTACCAGCAATTCGCCGTGCCATTTGCTCCTAATATGGGCGACACGCTACAGCTGATCCTGTATTTTGGCCTGGCCATGTGTGTCTACCCAGCGCTATTTGCTCTATATCCGACACTAGAGCGGCTTAGGAATGTCCGAGCGCTGCACTACAGCAACGGTATCCGGGCTGTGCCACTGTGGCTGGCATACACGGCGTTTGATTTCCTGTTCGTGCTTGTGATCTCTGCCGTCACTACAGGGATCTTTGCTGCAGTAAGTTCCTAGTGGCACATACAAATCTGCATGGCTAACGTTGCTACAGGCTTCCGATGCGTGGTATGCACCAGGGTACCTCTTCGTGGTGTTCTTTCTCTACGGCCTGTGTGCGACGCTCTTTGCTTACCTAATCTCCATTGTCGTCACGTCGCAACTGGCGGCATTTGCCTTCGCTGCTGGAGGCATGGTGTCGCTCTACCTGATATACTTTATCGGTTACATGGCCATACTGACTTACGCACCCGCATACGCCATTGACTCCTACATTCAGTACTTCCACTGGACTGTCTCGTTAATCTCGCCCTCAGCAAGCCTACTGAGGACGCAACTGCTTTCTCTCAACTCTTTCAGCGTACTATGCGATGGCAATCAAATTCCCAGCTATCCTGGCGCTTTGACAGTGTACGGAGGACCCATTTTGTATCTCATTGTACAAATCATATTGCTTTTCACCGCTCTCGTGTGGTGGGACTCGGGCTACCGACCCGCGTTTCTCAACCGAGAAAAAAGCCGTCAGCAGCACTCGGAAGAGAACGTGGATACCATCCCTCCTGCTGTCGCTGCCGAGATAACACGCGCTGAGCAGAGCAAAGACAGCCTTCGTGCGCTGCATTTACACAAAACGTTCGGCTCCAATCACGCTGTGAACGACATCACCTTTGGCATCCCCCAAGGCCAGGTTTTCGCTCTTCTTGGTCCCAATGGTGCTGGAAAGTCCTCGACTATCTCGCTCATCCGTGGAGACATTCATCCTACGACACACATCAACGGAGGTGGTGACGTTCTGATCGAAGACATCTCAATCATCAGCAAGCGTGCAGCCGCACGAGGTCATCTCGGTGTGTGTCCGCAATTCGATGCCATGGATTCAATGACAGTAACGGAGCATCTGTACTTCTACGCTCGCGCTCGCGGCGTCCCCGACCCAAAGACCAGTGTTGATGCGATCCTCCAGGCTACCAGTCTGGGGCGCTTTCACGACCGTCTCGCGTCCAAACTCTCGGGTGGTAATAAGCGGAAGCTCAGTCTGGGCATTGCATTGATGGGCAATCCGTCTGTTTTACTGTTGGACGAACCGTCCTCGGGTATGGATGCAGCTGCGAAGAGAGTCATGTGGCGCACACTGCTCGGTGTAGCGGCACCTGGGCGTGCCTTGTTGATCACCACTCATTCCATGGAAGAAGCGGACAAGCTCGCCACCCGCGTGGGTATCATGAAGCGCAAAATGCTTGCGCTGGGGACAGTCAGTGATCTAGGGCAGCAGTATGGCGATGCTTGGGTCGTACAGCTTGTGCTCAAATCTGCACCCGAAACCACAGAAAAAGAGATGGAAGCCGTAAAGCAATGGGTTCAGAGGAAGATTCCCGGTGTTCAGCTCGACAAGTGGGGTTCGCGAGGTGGAGGCCACGGACAACTCCGATTCAAAGTACTCAAGGCTGCTTCCCCCGAATCGACTGCATCGCCCGCGCATCTTGACAATGCTCAAGATGGCAAGGTCACCGAAGCAGAGGTTCATCAAATCAACACTTCGTCCTCAGCTGCTTCAGCATCTGATCTAGGCGGCATTCCCGGCCTCATCCAGTTGCTAGAATCTAATCGCCAAGAGCTAGGCTTGGAATACTACTCGGTTTCGCCTACCACCTTAGACGAGGTGTTCCTCCGTGTTGTTGGCGAGGAAGAGGAAGAGACGAGTGGAAAGAAACCAAAGGGTACAAAGAGGAATGGATGGGGTCGCTTCATATGCTGTGGCTTGCTGCCTGCTTAGAGTGTGAACACTGTCGCAGAGACAAGCTGCCAGGCAAGCAACGAGCAGTCAGGATAATGAGTGATTGGGAAACTTCTCCCTGAGCCTTGACGTTGTACGATACCACAGCATTTAGCTTCTGTATATAGCTTGTCTAGTTATCCCACTTTATAATAGTCGAGCCCTAATCTTTTCGCCTTGAAGCTTGTTGGGCACGTTCCGCAGTCCTCACACGTCTTTTCCCAAATTCTCAGAATCGATTAGTGGAGTCCATGGGATGCTGGTGTTAAGATAACCCGACTTCGCCGTGAGTTCTCGGTAATCCTCAGCCCTTCTTTGTAGCGTCGCGCACCTGCTCACTCAACAGGCCATATTGTATCACTCACTATCTGGTCGATATACTTCTTCCCAATAAAATTCATCATGCCTCTCATTTGAGTCATAGCTCTTACTGCTGTCGAACAGTGTCTCGGTGTATATTGCAATCCTCTCGGTACTGAGGTGCTGCTACGGGATTAACTGCTCTTCCTTTTCTCTCAGATGCAGCCAGCTCCCCAAGATATCGAAGATCATTGAGTAGACTTCATGTCTTGACCGTTTGTTCAAGCGACCCCGGTCGACAAGCGTTGCAGTTCGTATGCGTGTTCATCAGACGGCTCTACACACATAGTCAAGTCCAACCCAGGTTGCGAATGAGCGCTCCAGACATATCGAGGAAGACGCACATGTGTGGTGACTCTGGGGCAGGGGAACTCTGAAACGGATTTGAAGATTTATTTACTTATAATTATGTAGACAACGTAATGTAGGCTGGCCTGCAGCTACTACAATAGAGGAGATATAGATATATAGCGCATCACGTGAAGAGGAGTCTACACACCGACACTGGGGTCTAAGAGATGAAGTACTTTGCTTGCACCGCGCGAGTGGCAGCCCCCTTAGTAGCCCCCTTGGCAGCAGCAGCAGCAGCAGCAGCTCCTGCTCCTGCTCCTGCTCCTGCTCCTGCTGCCGCTCCAGCCGCCGCACCACCAGCTGCCATGTTGCTCATAACAAATCGCGCGGCCTGAGCCGCGTTAGCACCATACGACAGGTGAGGTGCCAAGATGATAGGCTGGCCTGCACAGATGAGGTCGCCAGGTGCGCAGATGATTTTAGTGTTTGCTGCTGCGACTTTGCCGACCGGTTTGCCGTTGTTTGGGTCACCGAATATGACTGCGCTAGACACAAATGCCGAGTCCTCGGCACTAAGCATATCAGCAGCATTGTGGACAAGCTGACCACCTTGTCTAGATCTCTTGTTAGACTTGCGAATCATGTGAAAGATATTGAGGGCAGTGTGTTACTTACGAGTAGCCTGCCATTACTAGTGTAGTGTCCGGGCATTGGGCCCGAACCTGTCCGACCATCTGTGCCATGAGCTGGCTGCCTCCTTTGTCTCCACCAACAAGAAAACCAGGCACATCTGCTGGGTACTGGATGCCCTGAACAGCGACGTTACCAGCACCTCCCATCATCGCGCCAAGAGCGATGGCAAAAGGTGGTCCAGCAATTGAACCCATATTGCCCAACTCAGTCGTTCCGCGGGCAAAGAGGACAGTCATGGGCTTGCAGCCGCCGCCGCTCTTCACATCATTTTGTGAGATTGAGGCGAGGGCGGCAAGTGTGACTGACGGTAGGAAAAAAATAAGGAATTTCATAATGATAGAGTCGTCTCGCTTTGTTCCGTCAAGGAAAGGATATTAGGGTATTACAAAGTATTATGCGAATATGGATAAAACAAGTACGGGCATTGGAAGAGAAGATATGGAATGTATGGACTGCTGTTCACCACAAGAAGCATGCGACAAGCCCCTTTATAGTATCATGTAGCAAGATGCCATGGTTAACGCTGTTCATTTAACCACCGCTTTTTATGAGTTTGAACATGTAGTATACTCACCTGTCATGTTTTCACTTGTTTTCCAAAGACACATCAAACGTCATGCCAGACCGCATGTAGCACGCATACTGGCAGTCAAGAGTGTCGTGCGACATATTCTATGAGCCCTTCCATGTCGGTTCAAGCTCGTCGGGAACGGGGTTGGGGCTAGAGCTACATGCCAGTAGCCGTTGTCCCCACGCACCTGGCCAGGTCTGCGACAGCTGTTGCCGAGGTGGACGAGCGATGTGCATGGGCAGCAGGAACGATCGAGGCGACGAGCTTCATATGGTGAAGCTGCCATGAGATTTGTGGCGGTGTCTCCTGTCCCTGAGTCTGGTGCTCTGCCGTTCGCGTGACTTGTCGTCAACTGCCCTCTGGATTGCGCTCAAGGCTCCCGACTTTGCGCTTGGACAATGTGAAGGGCCAATCGCATCCCACATAAGTATGTCTGAGCTGAATCAGAGTTCTCGACATCTCACAACGTCATCGGCAACCTGGTGTTCGGCCAAAACCATGTCTCATGACTTTGGGAGTTGTCGCATCGCGTCACATGCTGTGGCTGTTTCAGAAACCCGTTCCATGCCTCCACACCTCGAATCGTCGTGCGTTCCAGAGTCCAGGCCAAGCAACGTTCCAAGCCTACGGTAGCACAACATGCCGGCGATGGAAACAACATGGTGCGCATATATCGTCGCGAAGATGCCGCGGTCCGCAAAAGCTTGGTGGAGTCTTGCAGTCAGCCAGGCGGCCAAGGACTCGGGGAAGGGCGATGTCGAAGTAGCTGTGGGCCGACAGATCATGGCCCAACATCCTTGGCCACTGCTGTGAGTCTGCGCTGATCAGGCTCGTGCAACATGTCTCCATTTTGGACGTGTTGAAAAAGGCTGAACGCTGGTAGCAAGGCGAAATAAAGGGCGGCAGTGCCTCTTTGGTGTTGCGCGTTGGCCGTAGACCACCCCGCCTTCGCCCTAAGAGGAAGGTGCTAGCGACTGCAATATCCCGGTCTGTGGTGGTCCATTCGTATAATTGTCTACGACGCAGCCTCGAGTCCAAGTGTTGGTAACACACAGGCAACATGCCTCTTCAGGTCCACCGCATAACCTCGGCAGCCGACTTTGAAACCTTCGTCGCCATACAGATCGCCGCCTTTGCCAACGGCGGTGGTATCACTTCCCTGCTCACGCCTAACCCCATCACCGACGAGTACATCCAAAAGTCTATCGAAAAGCACGTCAAGTCTTGGCGCGACGAGCCTGACGTTGTATATCTCAAAGTCATCGATACCGACGCCCATGGCAAGATGATCGCAGGCGCCAAATGGCGCATCAACGAGCGGGAGCGCAGTGAGGAAGAAGCCAGCAAGATGTATCCAGTGCCAGATGATGAAGCCAAGGGAAGACAGGGCTTGCTAGACTTCATGGTATTCCTGAGTCGAGTAAGAAGGGAGTACATGGGAACGAAGCCCTTTTACTGCTAGTATCCAGCGCGCTACGTCGGAAGGTGTTGCTGACGGACAGCAGTTTTACATATCCTCGTAACGCACCCAGATCACCACCGCCGAGGTGCAGGATCTATGTTACTTGAGTGGGGTACCAAGCAAGCGGACCGCGCGAGACTACCTGCCTTCTTGGAGTCGTCCCCGATGGGCAAGCCTTTGTACGGGAGAATGGGATTTCAAGCTAAAGAAGGTAAGTCTTGAGCCTGAAAGCATACATGTGCTACTACTTCTGCGTGTATGGCACACGCTAACTCTATGCTCTCAATGCTACAGTGGTCACGTGGGACTTGTCGAAATATGGCTTGGAGGGGACAGATACCAGTACAGTGATGCTTCGTGAGCCCAGCATACACGCGATATGAGGTGCTATAGATGCGACCTCGTGTGCAAGAGAAGCCGAAGGCTGTTGGAAATGGCGGGTAAGGACACGGCACCTCCAAGACGTGTGCGCCCGCACTATTCTCTCTAGCAGCCTCTCCACGAAAGAGACGTCCCAAATCCACTCCTTCTACATGATATATCTGTTCCCCACGCTGACTTGGACTTTCACGCCTCTTTTGCTCAAAGCCTCGACCCTTCTTGTGAACTCGTTCTGCTCTTCACTCTTTTCCAACGCCAGAACCTTCGCGGTTTCCTCCAAAACAACTTCGGTCAACTGGTTCATCTTATCTAGCGCAGCCAGGAAGCGCTCACTCCTATCTCCGCTTTGTTTGCTTTTCGGAGCAATGCAGGGCTGCACAAGAACAAAAGCCTTGATCTCGGAGATGGCTGATCCCGCACACCAAAAGAAGAGATCCGCAGTCTGCAGGCCAAGGAACTTGAGGGAGAAATTGGCGCAAATGTAGGAGAGACATTCGGCCCGTATCTGGCGACAGACGCGGAAAGCAGAAAGATGCAGCACAGATGCGGCGAGATGCTCCGGCTTAGTGCAATTTGCGATCACGAGCGAAGAAAGCTCTGGGTAGATGGCCATGGCGTAGATCATATTTCGTATCTCGCCTGGTAACTCGAGAAATGCACCGTGTGTCTTTTGTGACTGCATTGGATTAGCTGTCTAGATTGACTCAGTAATGACACGTCGGGTGTATGTTATGTACGTGTGACGCTAACCCACTGACGCGGAGCTGTTTGTGGCGCAACCATTTGGTCCTCATCGTCTTCATCATGTGCCGGAGAGAGACGTTTCTGGTGGCAGGACAGGGACAAGGGATTAATACAGCTTTCGCAATGATGGGGACTGCGGGCAGCTGCCGCCTTACCGCATTAGGACAGTCCACCTTGATGATCGCAGCGCGCCTGGGTAGCTCTCTTATTAAGGCGTGATGTGGACGGAAGCTGCCTGTGCATACAGGACATACGGCATACCGCTTACTATCTCCTCCGTGACTATTACACCTTTGCGCCAAGTACCCCGTTTTCGGTCGCCTATCCAGGGCTTTTCTGGCCGTCTCTCGAAGTTCAGGCGGACACAAGCTCATATTGCAGAGTGGTGACGGCGCGTCGACAAGCAATTGCGGAGTTCTCGGAGGTGCCAAGACAACGTCACAAGTTTGAGACAGCGACTTGGCACTCTCGCTCCTCAACCAAGCTCGCCACGATGCTCTCGCGCACGTGTACACGCTCAAGCGCTTTCCTGGGAGCTCGCGCTACACCATGTCCTTTTGCTCGCCCCCCACCAGTGCTGCTCCGACGCGGAAAACGCACCAAAGCCAGCTATCCCGATGGGTCGGAGCACGATGCAACGACGAAATCCAAGCCCTCGCTCCTAGGCCGGCTCAGAGGCTCACGCTCCATCTTCGAGGATGACGCGAAAATGGACCAGGCAATGCGTCCGCTGTCCGATGCCGAACTCGAACGCGACGATCTGCCCGTCATCAACTGGTACGAGCAGGACTTGGACAAAGGCACGCCGCAGCGCCTGATTGAGCGCATAGCCACGCCCGAAGACCGCAAGAAGGACAGAGACATGTACCTGATGATAGAAGAGTCTCGGAAGAACCCCGACCATGACGACGCAACTTTGAACCGGCGGCTCATCGACAGCCTCCTGACAAATCCAAACTTCGCCGAACTGACGGATGAGCTCCAGCTCATCAAAAAAGGCATCAAGTCGAGGGAGGAGCTCCAGCAACTGAAACAACAGGGCGCTGCCAAGGCAGAGGCAGAGAGCAAGCAGTTCAACGCCAGCTTACGGATGGCGACACTTGAAATACTACAAGACGTCCTCGAGGACCCGGACATCGGAGACGCAAAGGCCGACCTGCAAGCGTGCATCGACCACATGCCTGAGGTGGAAAACATAGACAATCCCGTGTTCCAGGCTATGCTGAACAAGGCAATGCACAAGCTTGAGGGCAACGAAGCTATGCAGAACAAGGTCGCCGCTATGCGTAAACGCCCCGACTCCGAATTGGAGCGCGAGTGGCAGACTTATCAGAGAGAGACCGAAGACGCCATTGCTCAAGCAGAGACTCCAGACGAGGACCTGACTATGGCGACACCCGAAGACATGCAGGACGTGGACAAGCTCCTGCACCAGATGCGGGATGTCATGAAGTCGTTGGGTGGCGACACCGGGCTCGAAGCCGAACTCGACGCAGCGATCAGCGAAGACTCCACATCGGGTCAAGATGAAGAGGGTGTGTTCGAGCGTGAAATGGACCCCCAAGAATTGGCCGAAGAGCTGAAGAAGCTCGCCCAGTCCAAAGCATCGCAGCCCGGAGAGCTTGTGGAGGACGAAGAAGATGTTCCCGCTGAGCTCCAGGCCAAGGTTGACGAGATCATGAAAGACCCGAAGCTGATGGAGAAGCTAATGTACATACAAAAGCTCATTTCCGAGAACAAGCAACAGCAAGGCGATCTGACTTCTATCGCCCACGAAACTGCGCCTGACCCCTACCAACTCGCGGACAGCCGCACTGCGCCGCTCAGCGAGCGTATGGCTGCTGCCCTCCAAGACCCAGAGCACGTTGCCGCTCTCCAACGCCTACGCGTCGACCTCCCCCCACCGTTCAACATTGCGCCCGCCCTGAAATCGTTCAATAAAGCCATTGAGCTTGCCTATATCGGCGCAAACGATGACATCCGCCGAATACTCTGGCGCTCGTACCAGAAAGCGCGATCGTTGCCCACGTTCCTACAAAACATTGGTGACGAGGCGTGGGACATACTGTACTACTCGCAAGCGGTCACCTGGGGCAGTAACCAGAACCGAGAGAATCATCTCAGGATGCTGCTGGCCGACCTTGAGAGCATAGGGAGAGATGGGCCACCTACCC